TTCAAACTGAATAGTGTGCTGGTTCTTCTTGCTTCTCTTGATCAGCATGTGAAAACTTCCCGAATAAAGTCAAATTTAGGATACCATCTGAAAACTTCTTGCAGTATTATACAGATTATACATCATTAGCAAGAAATATGATACTAATAAAGTAAATAGAAACCAGAATTTGATGGTAATAAAGTATGTGCAAAAAATCAAATACGCGTGAAAAGGGGGGAAACATTCTGTTCATACAGACATATTCAATACTTTATAGAAGTAATCATCTATCTACAAACATGTAGCTTTGGAGATGGTTAGATCTATTGCAACATATCATGTTTATCTTCAACATCATGGCCCAAGAAGTATATATCTTTTCGATGAAGTTATAAACTATTTTAAGGGACAGGAAAGAAGTTGAAGGTTCCATGTTGCAGCAGCAACAACAACAACAACAACAAGCATTACCCAAAATTTTTAGGTTGGTACATTAACACTATTCTTCCTTCCAGTTCCATTAAAGGCCCTTCGAATAGTAGGGAACATTTTCAGTAAAATCGCAGTAATCGACCAGTTTGCATTACATTCAACCTATTACTAAAATTTTGAAAGAATTCAAATATTTTAAATGATCAAAATTTGGGATTCACAATCTGAACAGCTCCAGTACTAAATATTGAGTATCTAAATGATGAAATTATCCGCACCCATGGCCGTGAGACAATGCCTATATTCACAACATATAGAACCAAGATGGCAATGAGTGGAAAAAATTTAAGCCCATCATAAATACGACTTTATTTACAGGACACGATAAAGGCACATTAGTGAAAACCCAAATTGGCTGTATATATTTTATCAATTGGCACTTGAGCAAAAAATAATAATAAATCCAAGATTACTTACATGAGGATTTTCATAAGTCATAAAAGTGTAAGACTCACACTCTAAACATCATGTTAACTTTAAGGTGTATATGCTAACGTTCAGGTTTATATGCTAACGTTCATGTGAACATGTTAACTATCAGTTGTATAAGTTAACTTTCATCTGTATATGTTAACTTTCTTATGAATATGTTAACTTTCAGCATAATATGTTAACTTTCACTATTGCATATCAGTCTTCTTTATAACATGATAACATGCAACTGAATATGTTAACTTATCAAATGTACATGTTAAGTATTGGCTTTTCCTATTGACATTCAAGTAAACTTGTAGCTTTTCATTTGAACCTGTTAAATATATGTTGTATCAAAATAAAACGTGAACATATGGTGGAAAAAATACCAAAAAATACAATAAGAACAATAAAGGTCAAGCTTTATTTGTGATGTCAATGTTTGTGTTGCAATGTGAACAGCAAGCTAAAGAGATACCAAACATGAAGTTTATTTATCAAAGAAACTGTCATTTTCTTGCTACATCTGGACAAGTTCTTTAGCATCCTTGTTCTTCCATGTTACATGTCGACGAGTCGTATTAATTATACAGTGACTCAAATAACCAAATATGAAATTATAAAATACCAGTCCTTCAAAATCAAACCTTGCTTTCTTGTTGATGTTATTATATCTTAGGATACACCAACATTTTTCACTTCTCAATCAATCGACATATTCATAATCGAAAGAAGGTAAGAAGTGGGTCTATTTGCATGTAATTGAACTAACTTCAGGTAAGGTAATAAGTGAGCCTATTTGTAATCATCTTCCGACACAAAGATGGTTACCGAACAACCTATTTGCTTTATAGAAGACAAAAATCTAACAACCCTAATTCCTCACGAATTGAGGGGGCCTAAGTGCTAATAAATGAGTTGGATCAGTAAGGGGTCCATTAGGGGGTGGTTTTGTGCAACTGTAGGCACAAATAAAGGAGGTTATGTGCATTATTGTGCAATTTACACTTATTAATAACTAACAAAACTCATATGCGAAGTACATTAAATTTCAGACTCAGAAAATGGAACTATGTTACATGCACAAAACTAGTATCATTCTTCAAAATTTAGGTCAATTATAAGGAATAGGTCCTCTCTTTTTACACATTGTTACTAGCATGCAAGCTTAGTGCGAAGAGTCCGATCAAAACAGAATTGAAGATAATACATGCATCTAAATGAATCAGATTTAAAATTTTCTAGCAAGTAGAAGGCAAAATAGTGAATAATATTGACACATACTGCATATTAATGCTTCGAAGGGTAAGCCATAATCTAGTCACCTAGGAACAAAGTGCCAGTACGAGGGAACAAACATCAGTGAGAGATGACATTAAGCAACAAACTAATTCAATGAAAGAAAAGCCATTTTCTGTAAGCTAAAATTACATTTGCATGACGAAATCTGATTTCTGCTACTTCAATATGACATGATTCTCGAGTTATATTCTAAAACAAACAAAACAAGCAACAAACAAAATCCTCAAGTTAGTCTATTGCACCTATAATGATTAGAAAATTGTACCTCCTAACAGCAAGTCCTCCAAGGAGCTTGTATCGAAGAGATTCAGCCTGAGCAATAGCACATAGACCCCTGTTGTTAACCTTCTCCGCATAGAGTTCAACTGGGTAAGTTATAATCAGACTGTTCTTTTTTTATTGCAATACATAAGATTGACCATCATTTTAATTTCTCAAACTAAAAATATTAACCAAAATAAACATATCTTAATCCAGAACACCTTCAGCACACCGCCTCGCCTTCCCTCTTCTTATCCCCATCGCCTCCCCCCACCGCTCAAAAACCCTCGCCGCCACCGCCGCCGACCTCGCCGTGACTGGATGATCCTCGGAATCGGCCATCGTTGAGGTGTAGGAGGATGCTGACGTGGGTCGGGACGGGCCGCATAGGGGGTAGAGGGGACGGATCGGGTTATTTGTTTGTTTAATTTGTATAAAGAGGCACACTTAATAAAATTTGCCCTTGGCCTTAGAAAACCCAGGACCGACTCTGCTCGCAAGATGTTCACCGACAGTGGCAAGAAGAGGAGCTTCCTCCTCACACGTTCACCGACGGTGGCAGTTTCTTCTCGTCGCTGCCTCCGCCCAATTTCGCTGAGGTTTGAGCCTGAGAAGAGAGGAAAGAAAGAGAGGGGGGACTGGCATTTTTTGGGTAATGAGTTAAGGATAATTTTGAAATTTGAAAAAAAATTCTCACTATGGTGTGTTGGAAAGGTAAATAGGGGCTGAAACATAAATACTTTATGTATTAAGGGCTTTGTCACCCAAAAAATAATACGAGGGGCCTAGTCACAACAGATTTTTTATTTTAGGGCCTTAAAATATTTTTCCCTAAATGTTATAATTTTACCCCAATTGTATAATTTGGACAAAATAAATTATTTTTTAAAAATAAAAATAATGCTAAAATTTAAAAGACATTAAAAATAAAAATAAATTATTTTGGTATGTCAGGCACCAATAATGATATCAATGTGCTAGAGTCATATAATCTTTTCTCTAATTTGGCTCAATGTATTGCTCCTCCCGCTCACTATGTTATTCAAAGAAAAGAGTATAATATGGGTTATTATTTAGCTGATGGTATATATCCAAAATGGGCTACTATTGTACAAACAATCCAACAGCCACAAGGTAGGAAGAAAAAAATATTTTACCATGAAACAGGAAGTATGTAGAAAAGATGTAAAACGTACGTTCAGAGTTCTCCAATCACGATTTGCAATTGTGGCAGGATTAGCACGTTTTTGAAAAAACATGTATTACATCACATAATGACTACATGCATTATTATGCACAATATGATAATCGAGGATGAACGTGACCTTTATGCACTAATTCAAGAAGTGAGGGAAGCACCAACATAAGAAGTTGATATTGTAGCAGATGAAACTATAAGATTTACTCAATTTATTGCACGCTACAGACAAATCAAGGATAAAGATGCCCATATTGCGCTTCGTAATGCATTGATAAATCATTTATGGGAGGTACAGACAAATCAAGGATAAAGATGCCCATATTGCGCTTCGTAATGCATTGATAAATCATTTATGGGAGGAATACACTATTTCAGATAGTTAAGTGCATATTAAATTTGTAATTTTTACATTGTTGTTAATGTTTAATTATTTTCTTGTATTTTATTTTTAGTTGTATTCTTAAATGTAATATTTTGGCAATATCAATAATAAAAATATAATATTTTAGCAATTAAGTTATTTTAATTAATAAAATAATATTTTATTGATTTATTAGTTTAATTTTTAAATAATAAATCATTTTGTTTGAAAAATATGTGAAAAAAATAAAATTTGATATGTGGGGTTAATTGTTAAAATAGTTAAAAGTATAGGGAATAAAAAATAAGAATATAAAAGTAGATAAAAAAGAATATACCGAGAATATTCTTTTTTTGTGCAAAAAAATAGTGCAATGGGTTGGAGATGAATTACCGTTAGATGTGACTTTTACACCATTTTGGTGTAAAATTTACACCATTTTGGTGCGATGAGTTAGAGATGCCCTAAGTACGGTACAATTTTCCTTTCTTTTTCTTTAATGATTTCAATTTGCTTCCGAGAGTTTAGTTTGATCGATTGATTAATTAGCTAACTCCTCCTTTTTCTTTTCCTAAAGATTGTTTTTTTCCTTTATCGGCTAACAAAATGACTGCTTTTCCTTCGAATTGGGGTTTTCATTTGTAGTTCTCTTTTGGGCTTGCGGAATTATAAATTGGGCGCTTTTTGTTTGCTCTAATTTGAGCAAAAGATCGAATAGTTCATAGAGATTTCAACCTTAAACCCTAAAATTAGGGTTTCCGTTTGTTTTCTCATCATAGACTTTGGGTGTTTTTCTTTTCTGTAATTTGAGTAAAAGATTAAACGATTCAAGAAGTTTTTAAACTCTAAAGGCTAAAATGGCATCTTTGGGTTTTCTCTTTTGGGTTGCTGGAATTTGAATTTGGAAGCTTTCTTTTTGTAATGAGAATAGGATATCAATAATCTGTTACAATATGGCATGTGATTGCTAAAAATAGTGACTCCTGGATGTGGAAGCAAATGATCAAAGCAAGAGATAGAGCTGCTCTTTCTTGTGGTGGGATCAATAATCTGTTACAATTGCTGAATACTTGCTACAGGAACACTAAATTTCAAATCTCAGTCTTATACCATGAGTTGTTACCAATCTCTCAGCAAGTGCCATGGCATAATACTGTTTGGGATCAATTGTGCTATCCTAAACATTCATTTATTAGTTGGCTTGCTGTTTTGAACAAATTGCTTACTAAAGACAGACTAATGAAGAGGGGGTTAACAAATATCGGTTCTTGCTGCTTATGCTCAGGAGCTGTGTTGGAAGACAGGAACCATCTTTTCTTTTCCTGTGCTTATTCTTCTGAGGTCTGGAATGGCATAATGTGTTGGCTTCATTTTTCCTGGAAATCGTGCGAATGGGATCATATCTTGGAATGGTTTTGTACAAAGTTAAGAGGAAAAGGATTCAAACAGGGAATCAAAAGAATGGCATTGACGGCTGCTATCTACAACATCTGGTATGAGAGAAATCTCAGAATCTTCCAACAGGAACAAAGAACTGCTGATCAAGTGATTAAGAGAATTAAGATGGACATGCTATCTGTTGTTCTCAATTCACAATTCCAGGAGGAGTATCGGGACTGGTTGCAAGATTTGTGAAACCTGTCAGTTCTTGAAGAGTACTTAAAGTTACTGTAACCAATGTATTCAGTTTGATCTCTCATTTACTATGAGATCTTGATGTATATACATTTCTTTCATTGGTAATGAATAAAAATTTTCATTGACCAAAAAAAAAAAAAGAGAATAGGATATCAAATAATTTCACTAATAGTTAAAATTTGAATAATATTGTGCTGGTTGTTGAATCAAGACTGATGAATTATCTTTATGTTAATTCTCATAAAAAGATACAATTTTTCATAGGTTTCGCTCATGCTTAGTGGTGATGGTTTTTTCCCCTTCTTCTTCTGTTAATCTGTTCCCTGACCTTTATTTACTAGCTATCTAGCTTAATATCTACTATCTAGTCTTTAGTTTTTATTGTTAGCTTTATATGGTTCCTTGCCCATTCCTTACGTTAGAAATACGGTATATACTAGATTTCATCATCTTTTATTTATCAGGTCAAAATGGGCCGTTATAAATCGAAGGTCCAACTCATACTGATCACAGACGAGAGGCAACAAAAGAACTCATACGAGATCTTGAAGGGAGATGATCCTCAATCAGATTCCAGGGAAGTATATGAGATGCTCTAGTTCTCTACCTAAAAAAGCTGTAGCTTGGGTTTGAAGGATACAAACAAGATGCAAACAAGACACAGCTCAGCAAGTTGCTGTACAATCCAGGTGAAGATAAGCTTCAGCTATGTAGTGGACATAGGGGGAAAAAGCTCACACTTGCTTTCAGACTCTAAAAATACTAGCCGAGGGGATTCAACTAGGGCCAGTAGGAACCTGAAAATGCGTAATGATGGTTCATAGCCGATCCCGCCACCTCAGGCAAGGTGAAAGTATCGATGTCCCACACGAAGCTTTACACTTAGAGATCATATCTCAACTATTTGTACATCAAGGATGATTGGAAGAAGGTCGCTGTCCTGAACATCATCTTCCTTGTATTTCTCAGCTCAACATCAAGCGGTCAAGGATATCAATCAGCAAGTTGAAAATGAGTAACATACGAGTAATTAAGAGAAAAAAATAAGAGAAAAAAAAGGAAAATAAGTACCTGTACCAACACTGATCTCTACTCTTAGGCCATCTGATAGGTGGCTTGTACCCATCTGGAGGAGGCACCAAACATTTTTTCCTTTCAGACATTGGTGGGCAATGGCGCTCCATAAAACTAAGTCTGTAATTTCCATACTTTCTCCATCTCTGCCAAATTAATAAGTTAAATCTTCCGTATACTGGCAGAATTGGCGATATTTTGTCAAGAAAAATCGAGAAACTACATAAGCTCTAAGCAGATCATTGTCTTTGAAATCAATGTTTTCCTTGCCATGGTCATAAAACATGGAAAATAAAATGCTGTACTGCATATGAATGCAATTCTGCATATCACTGTGTTTGAACAAATGAAACTTTGATTTATCTATTAAAATGATATGGCCCCTAATTTAGAAATTACTAAAAAGATTTCCATGTTCGCTACTGCAGTGCATTTTATATATGGGGTAGAATGTATAACAAAGAGCGAACATGCAGCATGACACCGAATTCCTTCTTCAAAATAGGCACGAGAATGGGGCAACAATACATTAGGTCAGTTAAATATTTTTCTGCCAACTAGCTTCTGGCTATGTACTCGTATTATAAAACCCACTAGGGATGATGTCATTTTCATGCACAAAGAAATGCAATCTAAAATGAGCAGTACTGGAAGTACCTTAGGGTCTGTGCACGGTGTATAATCTTGATAATCGATGCCACATTCTAGAAATGCTATAGGCTTGACTTGAAGAGGGGACAAAGCGGTATCTTTTCGAGAATCTGTTCTTCTTGGAGCAAAAAATTCCTCCAAGATAGAATGAAAATCCACACAGTACAACAAACATCAAAGCCATGGGGACTGCCCTGGAACTTTTATTTGGGGAAGTCCCTGGTTTCGCATCTTTATTCTTCATTTTATGTATTATTACAGAGGGCCTGATAGAAGAAACGTATAACAAGGCATATCAGATGTCAGAAATGAAGATAAACACGTATAGAAAAATCACGACCAAGTTCAACCAGAAACTTACAAAAACAAAGACGTGTCAATACTGAAATGCTTACAATGATAATATCTCATCTGACTTATCTAATCTATTAGGATTAAAACAAACTAATCAATTATTCACTCCAAATCGGTTAACTTCACAAGACAGAAGCATGCATATTTCTGTTCTACTAGAAGATGAAAATGGCGATGTAAATTACCTCTACGAATTCAGAATCCCTTTCATCCCAGATGAAATTACCTCCTAGCACTACAGTAAAATATTCATAGATACCAGATAGATTTTAACAATCCTAGACAATAGTAAAATATTCTTGCTACCTAGTAAAATATTCATAGATACCAGATAGATTTTAACAATCCTAGACAATAGTAAAATATTCTTGCTACCTCGAGCACAAGCTACTTCAACATCCTTCTCCATCTTTTCTAGACGACGCACTGCATTCTTGCACTTTTCCAGGTCTGTATCCTCGTCTGGGTGTTTGCTCAGCACGGTATGAAGTGCAAAGACGATCTTTTCAGCTGTTCCTCCAATAGACAATTTCTGGTTTAAGTTGAGAAACATTGATCAAGCACTTTCTTCAAGCCTGAGTGAGAGCTCAACAAATACTAAGCAGAAAGGAAAAATTGAAGATTGAATTCATACTGTTTTTATAGAACGCGAATCTCTTCTCATGATCTTTACAGAACCAGAACGTGAACACTTTTTATTCAATTCCAATGCAGGGAGAGGTTCAGAACCAAGCATTAGATCCTTAAGGCCTTGTGCACGAGATCCAAAAACTCTTCTTTCTTCCCAAATATTAACCTAAAAATATTAAGCAATAGGTAAAATCAAGAGTTAGTATTTTTTTTTCAAGGTAAATGTGCTAGTCAGGTAAGGCTCCCCACTACAATGGGAAATAATTGACTTGCAGCGAAACACTAGATGCTTACTTACCTAAGAGCAGGTAGGTAACTGTTTTATCAGTTTTGTGAAACATACACATATGAGAAAATTAAAACTAGTAGAAAATTCATCAAGAAAAGGATACTTTCAATACATTGCTGAGTGCTATTGAGCTTCGAGAGCTTATCCGCCAGTATATGCTCGCTGAAAGCACTATTCATCCCAAAACCCTCTTCTTCTCAATATTACAGAACTAGCTTCATCAATACACGCCCAAAACCCTTTAAAAAGTCAAAGAAATCAACAAATTAGTCAACCAAAAACATCCAATTTTCAATTTTTCCTCAAGGAAGGAAAATAATTGATGATACAAAGCTAGAAAACATACATTTTTCACTCCATAAAACTGCTCAAAACGAGAGAAAATTTAAGAAGGACTTGTGAGAAATTGAATTTTCTCATAAACTTGATCAAGTATATTCTACAAACAAACATAAATTCAATAAATTCACGAAACTTCAAGATCAAATGTACATGAAGAAGAGACCTAGCTCCAGAATCCAATTGAGTCAAATTGGCCAACAGCATCACCATCAACCTCACAACTTTACGATCTCCAACCTTATACATCACATCCATAGCAGTACTCACGGTTCTAATGGACACAAGCTCCTCCGTGTCACGCCCCGGGTCCAAAACATGATAATTTAGAGCGTGACACAGTCGGCAATGCAACCATACGGTTACATTCACGCCTCTGGATCATCCTGTATACAGATATATTGCTAAAAGAACTACTACATAGAGCATGTAACTACAGTAACAAAGGACCTAGATAGATAAAGAAACTCTGAAAAACAAGTTCTCTTACATGTCCACAACCATTCAAATAGGAAAGAGGAAAAAAATACATCTTAGTTTGGAGTACCACAAGTGATTACAAGAAAGACTTCATAACTGAAGCTGAGAGAGAAAAGGTGATCATTGTTGCTGGTCTTAATCCTTAAAGTACTCTGGGTCCTGCGAAAAAATAACAATTTCCAAGTCTGGGGCATGCAAACCCCAGAGGAGTCAGAAAACTCCCAGCAAGCATGTAAAATGAGGAAATTAATGGCACAGTGTAAGTATAAGTGGTAGATATAAGAAAAGATAGAATTCTAAAGTTTCAGTGAATAAAAGAAAATGCTAGGCTGCTTATAGATCAAAATATAGAATGATAACAGTCAATTAAAGATGATAAGAAAAATTCCTAAACATGTATATCAAAAAGTTCTATCCCTACAAGCATAACATCTTTATACCCTATACTAAAAGGAGTAAGATTTAGAAACGCCAACAATATGAGATAAATTAATTTTTCCATGAAGTACGTGGAGCGAATAATCCAAACAAGGAAATTCCTCGTATTACGCATATATGCTCCAAAGTTGTAAATCTGATAAATATTTACTGCGCCAAATTTCTTATACACAAAGAGATATCAAAATATGCATCACCATGTTTTTCATCCAGGTCGCTATACCGTGGGCATGCGCGAAAAATTCTAATCACAAAGCTATAAAAAAAACAGCATTTATTCTTAATTTTAGGCATGTTATTTGAAATTAGAGAAGAATATTTTCATGTATAGTAAATCGGTTCCCCAGTAATACCGTCCGGGAACACGGCTTCAGTCAGGAATTGGCATCTTTGGCCGCATGTATGTATATAACTGCAGGATATCATGATGCAGCATGAAATGCCCGTTTATATACATGTTATATTCTTTCATCTAATTCGCCCAGCTTTATAACGCCTATGTTTGTCGTATAACTTTTAAATTGACTGTGCATGGAAATGTTATGCACTAACCAGCAGAGTTACCAGTGGAAGCAACTTCGTGTAAAAATTATGAAAATAACCGTCGACACAGAACATGTCCAATCAAGAAGGATGCATCGTCTACTTTGATGGCTAATAATAGTAATAGCCAAAAAAAATCTCATATGCGTGGATATCGATATCGAGGGTACATCCTCACATCGGGAATATCGATGTGCGAGGGTTATAGGCCATGGCTTTGTTCGAAAGCACGCTTAAAAATCATATTTTTAAGCATGAGTCGTGCTTCATGCACAGTCTCAACGACTAATTTAGATGACAACTTAGCGTGATTCAACAACAAATTTCCGATAAAGTCATGTATTGTCAGACAGCAATAATCATAATCATGCTAATTGATTTATATTACTCTTGTATCAACCAATCCGATACGTGGCTACCAATATACAGTGTATTTCCTTTAAAAATGCTAACTTGAATGTATCTATGTCACACATACACAACTTGTCCACACTGACATAACTATTTAGTAAATAAGATGCCTGAATATCACATGTTACCACCACTATGCACATGTACGTACTTTAAGCGCTAGCTACTACGCCATCTGACGCACTAACAGTTTGGCTGGGTTTTTCTATGATATGGAAACATGTTGTCTCACTGCTAAGATACTACAAATCCTATTGCTCGACCGGCTCTACTAATCATTTGAAATAGTGAAATTGTTGCATATGCCTTCATGTCCCTACATATCTGCTTATGATTTTCTAATATGTGTGTAACACTTATTGGCGCGGCTGCTAACTCTATATACAAATTGTTATAAATGACCCGATCACTAAAAAAAAATAAAATATGTGTTAGTCCTATGATCACTAGTATCTAAATTGTTCACGAGGAAACTTTATATGGATAAGTGTGTATTGGCTTACATTGGCTAAACTGGCCTCGCCTGCCCCTGTGATTGAACAATAATATATCTAATAGGAATCTGATTAAGAAAAAATGCTTGCATGAAGGAAAAACCCAAATAATGAATGATAATAATGCAAGGAAGAGGATGCTTGCCATCAATAATATATTGAGAACCAATTTAACAAAAGCAAGAAAAAATTGCTTGCGTCTAGAGGGTTGCGCCGGAGGCACATGGGGCTAAGGGCGGTCGACGGGGGCTGAGGGTGAGTGAGCGGCGAGCGCTGAGGATTGTCGGAGCTGCAGGGAGGTGCGGTGGTTTGGGCAGGCGAAGCCTTGGAGGGTTGACGGAGCGTGATCTAGGCGTTTGCGCGTTGGCGTCGTCGGAGGCGTGAAGACGGCGAGGTGGCCAGGGTGGAGGTGAGCTCGAATCTGGTTGTTTGAAGTTGGCGAAGAAGATGGAGAGGAGGTGATGGAAATGCAGGGGTGCGGGCCTGGAGGCGTTACGATGACGTGCGTGGGGGCTCGCCTGGAGAAGGCTGGTGGTGTGTGCGATCTGATGGCGGGGGTGCGGAGCGGCTTGGGGCGGAGGTTTTTGGGCGCGGTAGGGTTTATCTTGGTTTTGAGAGAGCACGAGGAGGAGGGAGGGCAGGAGAATGGCGCTATGAGTTTGGAAATGGAGGAGAGGAACGAGTGAGGCTTGTGAGTTTTTGTCGGGAAATGGAGGAGAGAGAGTAAAATGGCGAAGTACGGGAATTGGGTGAAAAAGAAGGATAATGTGTTTTATGAAGGGGAGATAAGAGGAAATGTTTGAAGAAAATTATCGGGATAAAAAAAAGAATGAGTAAAATATGGAAGAGAGGAGAATTGTGGTTTGTTGATTGAAAACCTGATTGAAATTGCACATGTTTAGGGGGGAGAGAAAATGCACGTGTTAGGAAAGCGAAAGTTTAGGGATGATAATTAAGAGGGACATAATGGAGAGAGAGAGAGGGGAAAAGGCGTATGGAGATATATACCTTATATATAAGAATAATATGGCGCAATAATAAGTTAAACAAATAATAATATTTAACAAAAATAAATGACAACCAAGATATAAATAATATATACTAATGTTACTAAGACATTATTTACATCAATAACAACAAGATTATTAATTAATGACCAAATATAACTTAAAATTATTTCTATCAAAACCATTTAAATAAATATTAAAATTGAATTTTTAAATCATAGTATATTCTAGGAAAATTGAATAAATATAAATACTCTTTTTAAAATAATATTTAATATTTACAAATACACAGAAAATTATTTAAGCTAGTATCAAAAAATTCATTGCCGGTCCTTAGCATTTCTACCCCCCCTTTCAAATCAAATTCGGTCCTCGAATTTAATTCCAAGCCACGAGAAGCAAAAGCTCTACCAGAAATAAATAGATGTGGTAGCCAATCTAGCATTGTCTCGGCTATATATCTCATACCCATTAGCTATAAAGGTTATTGGAATGACTCTCCATAGTTATGAATCCCCTGGCGAGATAATTTCAAGACGTGATAACATGTAAACGAATTCTTTTCCCAAGTGTTGGTCCTAAGGATCGTCATTCTCTTGCTTTGTTTTTTCCTTAGGACCACCACCGAATCACAATCCATGGAGGAAGAATCACGAGGCCCCCTCTCACTAAAAACATGTATCCATATCAATGTTTACATGGTGTTCTTGAAGTACTCGCTTTGATCATTCAACACATGGCATCAATAAACATTATAACTATAGTAATTCGATAACTAATATAAAACTGGTAGATCCTTAGCCTGAGACTTTTTCATGAAGTTTTTTTTTTTCTTAAACTTATAAAACAATGTGGTTGGAATCATGGTTTGCGGTGGGCGCTTTCTCAAGTATTATATATCTTTCTAGATATCAAGCATCATGTATTATCTCGATCATATACTGATGGAGTACATAGTCATATTAATAATCTTTCAAGTCAAGTAGCTTAAAGCTTTATATGCGCCTGTTATCCTCAGCAAAATCAAGTTTCGCAAATATATACCCTCAAACATGCATCCATCTGTTTCTCATTCTTGGATACCAATGCAGTCATTATCAGCAGCGAAGCCACTATTCAGGAATTTATAACCTAGATAATCAATTGCACATACGTCTCAAGATGGATTTGCCTTACATGCATATCTACACCGAGTTAAGCTTAAAAACATTCCTCTCACCTGACTTAACAGTGCTAAAATACTGGTCTAGCTGGAGGAAACTGAAAAGTTTTCAAGTCTACTAATATCCTGATTGGTTAGCACATAAAGAACATCCAAGTTCATTCGCATGAACTAGCTGGAGCTAAATGGTTAAAATTTAGATGATCCGTTGGCTGAGATAACTTCATCCAAACAGGCAGCTATGAACTTGTAGTGGCTACTAATGCGAGGGCTAGTGGTTGGATAAACTTTCATGCTAGCTTAACTTATGAAGCTTGGGGCTAGTCTAAAAAAACCTATCTATGCACATTGACTAAG